TTAATATCTTCTGATCTTCAAATACATTTGTATACATAAATATAGATAATATCGTAACAGTTGAAAGCACTTAGCTGTAATATTAACAAAAAATGGTTTTTTTTTTTTTTTTTTTTTCATGAAATTAAGTCTCTGGTTTGATCTACTTGTTTTTCTTTTTCAGAGATCTTAGCTTCAACAGGCTAGAGGGAAATATTCCAAATTTTGAAAGCCTGTTAAAGATGGATTACATGTAAGTGGCTAAGAGCTGTGAATTCTTAATGAAGCTTAGTGAATTTACGCTGCATGTAGACTTAATGACATTGTATTTAACCGTAATTGATTATGTTGTTTACTTTATAGGTACCTGACAAGCAACTTGCTCACTGGGGATATTCCAGAATGGATGAAAAGAAGAGAGAGTCGCTAGTATGCCTCTATCCTCATTTTACCAGCCCCTTCGATATAACACATGCTTCATCACTTTGCATTTCATCAAACACACTTAAAGGAGTATTGAGGTTAAACATTCTAATGAAAACATAATAATTTCCTGATTTAATAGTGCATTATTTTTATGTGCAGCTATATAGATATTTCTTACAATAATCTTTCTGAGAGCTCGCAGCCACCTAGTTCAAATACTCTGTAAGAACAGAATGCGCCTTTAATCAGCTCTCTTGTCTTTGCACAGTTTTTAACTTTTGAGTGGTATTTTATTTCATCAGAAATTTGTTCCAAAGCTCGTCTGAAGGAAACAAATTGTAAGCTTCTGTTTGTTCCATAGCATTTTTTTTTATTTGTTTCCATTTTTTGTGGTCAAATTTTACTGAATTCAAGTGTATTTCTCCCTTTATGAAATTTTAATATAGGGAAAATGATAACCGCCCGATGATGTCCTCTTGTTCTAAAGGTGATTTTCTTGTATAGACTCTGAAAATGTTCTTTGAGTGCATATTTTATCTCTTCTAAAGATAAAAGCCTGTTCCTATGTTACGTTTGATTGTATCTAATCACCATTATACTGCTCTATCTTAAACAGATTATTACTCGGTGCATATAAATTGTGGTGGAGGAGCTGTTGTTGATGGAGACATCGTGTATGATGCGGATCAAGATCAAGGAGGTCCAGCAACATATCTTCGTGCATGCGAAACTTGGGAAACTAGTAATACGGGATTTTTCTGGGATACCAGCCCTTCTGCATCATCGTTTATTGCCAATGGTGTGTCTATAGTCAGGGCAAACAACTCTGAATTGTACACCGATGCACGGCTGTCACCTCTTTCTCTGACGTATTATCTACGTTGCTTAGCAAATGGAACCTACAGTGTCACACTTTACTTTGCAGAAATAGTCATCAGAGACAATAGATCCTTTTACAGTCTTGGAAGACGAATTTTTGATATTTATGTGCAGGTAGTCAATGATTATCATACATTCACTCCATATTTAAGGAAGATGGAGACTAATTTTGCCTATTGCAGGAGAAACGTGAGTTTAAGAATTTTAATATTGAAAATGAGGCAAAAGGTGTTGATAAGCCAGTCATTAAGACAGCTAAAGCAGTTGTTAGCAATAAAACGTTAACAATCCGCTTTCATTGGGCTGGAAAAGGGACAACTGCTGCACCAGCTAGAGGAACATATGGTCCTCTTATATCAGCTATCTCTGTAGAATCTGGTAAGTTATCTATATTCTGCATTAGGACTTCATCCTCAA